TTTTTTATTAAAATTTTTACTTTTCTGTATATTATTTGAATTTCCCAAACTGAACGTTAAAGAGGCGTTTGTTAATTATTTTTCTAATTATGAGTCCACTAAAAGAAAGATCGAAACGAAATTTTAAACGTAAGAAAACAAAAAAACGTTTTTTAGAAAATAAAAACATTTTTCGCTTAAAAATGAACAAAACCACTGAAAACTTACCACTTCAGTCAATTTGGATTTAAAAGCTTGTTTTAGTAAAATCTCACCAAATAAGTGAGTTACTTATTGCTCAAAATCAAGCAAAACAGACTTAAATAATGCCAATTGTAATTTAATATAATTTTTTTTTCACTTTCAGTGCACAATTTTCGCAAAAAGATAAACATACATTTTCCGAATTTCTAGTTTATTACTTTTGATTTTTGTTATTTTCTTATTGTTTTATTTTCTGTTATTTTTTCTTAATTTTAGTTAAACTTTTTGCTTATTTTTTAATTTTTTATTAAAATTTTTACTTTTCTGTATATTATTATTACTATTATTTTTTTTCCAGACAAACAAGTGTCGATATTTCCGGGGGTGGGAGAAGCGGTACCACAGTCACCGCCGGCCACCAGGGAACCATCCTGGACAAAAATGGGTACCGCCTCGACGGCGGGGCTTTCGCCTCGAAACAGTTCCACCCAAATGGTCCTGCGACCATTGGGGGCCAACTGGGATACACCCATACTCCCTCAGGATCGAACCTAAACCTTGGTGCTTCGCACACCCAAAAATATGGTACCGATCTTAACCTCCAAGGAGTGGGGAACTTATGGAGAAATGGCAACTCTCGTTTGGACGCAGTTGGCAACTATGGACGGCATTATGGGGGCCCTGGGGGCACCGGGAGGCCCAATTATTACGGGGGGCTGCAGTTTAACCACCGATTCTGAATTTATTTATTTATTTAGTTAATATAAGAATGCCATAAAACAAAGTGTCATAAAAGAGGCAATAAAGTAAATACTACTAATTTTATTTATGTTTTTTATGGCACAAAAGTGTTACTTTTACGACGACGTTTCAATAAAGGATATAATGGATCTCGTTTAGTCGATTAAAAAGTTCGAGAGGTGGAGAGAAATTTACATCAATTTTAGAAGTAATTTCATTTAATCCTTGAATGTGAAATGAAATGTGTGACGCTTGTCTGAAGATGGAAGTGCCAAAGGCTACGAAAATGTGACAATTCCTATTTCAAATCTAAATCTGCTAAATGCTAGGAGGAAATTCGGATTTATTACAAGACGAGATTTATTGAAACATTTGCTTTTAATTTTAAATTTTGTTACCGGTTATACAGGGTGCACCAGAACTCGCGCCCCAGAGAAAATTTCAATTTTAAATAGTTATAAAAAACACATAAAAAAACAAAATTATTAGTGTCATAAGATAGAGATAAAAAAATGTCAAATATCAGATTTTTTTGACACACCCTGTATTTTGTATAGTTTATTATTACATGCTACGTGATGTAAATCACAAAAATGATAAATAAATTATGAAAATGAATCTTTATATACACACACATGAACAAAACAATAACACTCGCAAGTGGAAAATGTGAAATAGTCATCCTCATGACTCACATTATTGCATTACAAGAAGTCGGAATTCTGTAACAAAGAAATATTTCACTCAACACTGAAAGTTTAATTGAAGCAGAAAGTGTAAACAATTTAAGCATTTCCTTGACATTTTTTAATGGGTAATTAAATGTTTCTGAGAAAAGTTTGACTAAGAAAAAAATTTGAAAAAAAGTCACAAAAAATGCCGGAAAATAAATGAAAACAGATGAGTTAAAAAACAAACGTATTGTGAAAAATATGTAATGTTTTGTTGCAAAAAGATGTTTCACTCAAGTAGACAAAAAAGAAATTAAAAAAGTCTGTACTCACAAACAATAATGATGTAAAAAATACACAAGAGAAAAATTGCTTTGAAAAAATAAAAGTGTGAAAATGTAAGAAAATTAAAGTAGAAAAAAAAACAAAAAAAATCGACGAAGAAAGAAAGAAGCAAGATTGAAAACCCAAATATAGGACAAAAAACCCTAAAAGCGTCAATACATATTTAAAAAAAGAAATGTGGAAGAAGAAAAAATACCTAAAAAAAGTTCGCAAAGTTCGCGTTCAGTTTAATTTTTAAGTTTGATGTGAATATAAAAAACAGAATTTTTTATGTACTAAAGTAAAAAAAGTAAAAGTGAAAATGAGAAAGAAAAAGAGAGAGAAGAAATTGAAAAAGCAAAAGAAGCCCACAAAAATATTGCAACAGAAAAACAGATGTGATAAAAAATAAACAAATTGTAAAAATATATTCTAATTTTTTAATTTAATTTATTTTTAATCAATTTTCTAAAAAAATATTTTTTTTCATTTTTTCTAAGTAGATTTTTCGTAAAAAAATACGGAAACAATTAAAAAAAATTAAAGTGGAGAAACGTGAAGAATTAAAAGAAAAATGAAAAAAATTACTAAGAAAAGAAGTGGGAAGACTAAAGCGTCAATAGATGTTTAAAAAAAGAGAGAAGTAAAAGAAATAAAAAAGAAACATTAAAAAAAAGGAAAAACTATTGAATCATAATGAATTACAAAAGGAAGTTGCTTCTGAAGTTGGCATCCAATTTTATGCACCAAAATTTATTTATTATTTTTGTATTTTTGGTAAGCTAATTGACTTTAAAATAAAAATTTGACATTGATTAGCCCCTTTTTTAAAAAATCACAGTCAACAGGTCACAGAAACTGGTTTTAAAGTGCAGTTATTAAAAAAACAATTTCTTAACACTACAGAAAGCGCTAATTTAAATCATTTCAAATGTTTTACAGAGGACAATTTTAATAAAAAATGTTGATACCAATAAATGAAGAAACGCATTTTTAATCAATTTTCTAGATATCTGCGTCCAAAAAATCACTTTTTTCAGTTTTTTAAATAAGTTTTTTCGTAAAAGAGACACAAGGAGAAAATAAAAAAAACAAGTAGAGAAACATGAGAAAATTAAGGCAGAAAAAAATAACTAAGAAAAGAGGAAGAAATAATGAAAAGCATTAATAAATGTTTTCAACAAAATAAGAAAAAAAAAAGAAAAAGAAGACATGTTGGAAAGAAAAATACCTGTTCAAAAAATAATAAAAACTAACAAATAATAATAAATTGCAAATGCAAGTTGTTTCTGAAGTTGAAATCCAATTCTATGTACTAAAATTTATTTATTATTTTTAAAATAATTGCAGTTTCTTATTCCCTTTTAAAAAAAATTTACAATACAGAACGCATTGATTTATTTCACAAAAAATGAAACTTTTTAAGAAAAACTGTTTAATCCCATTCAGTTTTTCGTAAAAGAAACACAAGAAAAAATTATTTAGAGAAAACAAAAGTGGAGAAACGTGAGAAAATTTAAAAAATTATAAAATGCCTAAAAAAAGAAAAGGGAAGATTGAAAACCAAAACAAAAAGCGAGAGAACTTTAAAGTGTCAATAGATATTTAAAAAAATAGAAATAAAAAAAATATTTGAAAAAAAAACCATTAAATCATAATGAATTTGTTGATTCTGAAGTTGGCATTTAATTTTGTGCACTAAAACATTGATTAGCACGTTTTTTACGCATTTTAATCAATTTTCTAGATACTCCCAAAAAATCAATTTTTTGCATCTTGTCTAAGTAAATTTTTACGTAAAAAACATAAAAAAAAGTTAAAAAAATTAAAGTGGAAAAACGTGAAAAAATTAAAGTAGGAAGAAATAAAATGTCTAAGAATAGAAGAAGAAAGAACGAAAACTAAAATAAATGACGAGAGATCTCTAAAACATCAATAGATGTGTAAAAAAATACGAAAAAATAATAAACAATAAT